ATACATTTTTTTGTTTAGAAAAGAAAACAATATTGTACCATAATTGGATCCCAATTATTACACATGTTTAACTCAATCCTATTGGAAATTTCATGAACCTGTCCGTCATCAATGCAGCCAACAGATGACAATCGAGGATGGGGTCATGGTAAAATCAGATGTGATTTGGTTCATGTATGTCCTTTTCATTGGTCATGGATGGTTATGTTAAAACGTAAAAGTTAAAGGGTTAAAGGTTAAAAGTTAGATAAATCATTTGTCTTTGTGTCTGGAATTCATTGTATGATAGCCGAACTTTCTAATCCGGACAATCAGTTTTGATTTAGATGATTTGAAACCTTTGATTGAAAAAATGACAAAATACTATAAAAAAATAAACAATAAACTAGAAAACCTTTACCTGTGATTTAATGAATTTTCCTCCAGAAAATTTGTGAAAAAAAATACTGGAAAGTGGTATTTCGATATCCTAAACAAAACCGTCTCTTATTCAGAGCCGGTCCAATGCATAAGTAGCTGAAACCTTCGCCTAGGGCCTAAATTTTTTTTATATTCGGATTTAATTAAATTTAAATTTGTTTGTAGGGATATTTAATTTATGTGCAATTAGGTCTAATTTTATTTTTAGGGCCCAAGAAAAAGTTTTAGATCGACGTTTAATCAAGTGAATTTATTTATTTGTTGGTTATTCTTTTATTTGATAGTCTTTTGATAAGTTAAATTAGTTTAAATCTAAATTGAGCTTGTTGAGGACTATGTCACATTATCCCCACAACTATAAATTTTCACATATTGTCTCAATTATTTAAAATAATTTTACACAACCCTGAAATTAAACTTCCCCCATATTAGGGACAGAAAAAAAAATCCACATATGTAGTTTAGTACATGTTTTTTAGTGTCTAAAATAGGGAGAATATTAAATCAATGACTACGGTGAAAAGTAAAATATGAGAAAATTGATAGTTGGAGAGGTGATATGAGAAACTTTGTAGTTGAGTGATAGAGTGATGTCCAAAATTACAGTTAAAAGGGTAAAGTGAGATAAGGGCGTTGATGGGGATAACACATAATTTGCCCTACCTATATCATCTGCTTAACATTTGTTGTGATCGTGCAATAATTATGGTGAATAGTAAGGAATCAAACAATTAAGAAAGCAAGAGAAAAATACTACACAAAGATTTACATGATTCGGCAATATGCCTACATCCACGAGAACGAGCGGCCATTCTATTTCATTATTAAAAGTAGGGTTACATCTTAAGTATTTATATAATCCTAATACGGACGTATTTACAAAAATATCCCTGTACCGTACCGCAGGAGGCGTTGCCCCCGCACCCCCAACTAATCAGCGTCCCCTTTATACAAATCCCGCAAGGCAGATGCCATCGCGGGCTCCGCTCCGACATCTGCCTCCTTGCCATTATGCACACAGCAAATATGAGTCACACATACTCTAACAACATTAAAACTTGAAAAATACTTGCAAAAAAAATAAAAAGCTGGAAAAGTATACTTTGGAATAGAACTGGTATAATTTATCTCGAAACTCTAATGCCATCCTCTATGTTTACTTTGTAGACTAAAAACATCACAACTTATCTGACCTGAGGCATTTAATCTTCCTCCTTGTCTGGTTCTTTACTTCAGCTTTTCACAGCTTGAACTTGGCAAACGCTTCTGACTTGTGCCGCATGAAGTACACCCAGACCTTTCGTGAGTAATCATCAATGAAACTCACGAAATACATGTATCCTCCCTGTGATACTATGCTAACTGGTCCCCAAACATCTGTATGGACATAGTCGAGAACCCCCTCTGTTTTGTGTGTGACTGTCTTGAACTGCACCCTATTCTGTTTTTCAAGAACACAATATTTGCAAAAATTGAGCTTGCATGTCTTGACATCCTTCAATAGATTTTTCTTATAAAGCTCTATCAGCTCACGCTCACTCATATGACCCAGCCGCATATGCCACAAGACTGTATTATCTGATTCAGACTCTACAGCAGCAACACCACCTACAATTATAGTACCCAGTAGTCTGTAAATGTTTCCTACTACTTTCTATCCCTTCATCATTATCAGCATGTCTGTACTCACTTTCATTACTCCACTTATAGATTTGTAACTATAACCATTACAATTCAAAATGCCCAATGAAATCAAATTCTTCCTTAGATCCGGTACATGTCTAACATCACACAACGTTCTAACCATACCATCAAACATCTTAATTCTAATATTTTCTATTCTAATAACTTTGCAAGATGCATCATTACCCATTAGAACAGAACTAGAATTTATTGACCTGTAGGTGTCAAACCAATCTTTGTTGGGTGTCAGGTAATAGGAACATGTTGAATCCATAATCCAAGAATCTGTTAAACGATCTGAACTAGATAAAACAGAAAGCATATCACCGTCACCACTCTCTGAATCTTCTTCTTCCACTACGTTTGCAGACTTTGATGCACCCTCTTTGTCCTCTGAATCCCCTTTCTTTTTCTCTGGACAGTCCCATTTAAAGTGCCCCTTTTTCCCGCACTTGTAACACGAGACGGAGATGTCCTTCTTCTTCTTCCTCGACTTGGACCGGGCTTTATTGTTACCCGATCCATTCCGAGATTTGCTTCTTCCACGTTCCTGGTTACCTTTCACCACAAGCCCTTCACCTTGTGAAGCCTCATCACTGGCTTTCTTCCGCTAATGAAAACCTAACAGAGCACCTGTGACATCCTCTAACTCGAGGGTTTCTTTCCCCCACATCAGAGTCGTAACCAAATTCTCGTACGTAGGAGACGTCGGTAGGGAATTCAGCAACATCAGCGCCTTGTCTTCGTCTTCGAACTTCACATCAACTCGCTTCAGATCGCTGATGATCTGATTGAACACGTTGATGTGTTGGGTCAAATCCGAGCCCTCTGACATCTTAAGACCATATAGTTTCTGTTTAAGATAGAGCTTGTTCGTCAACGACTTGGACATATACCGACTTTCCAGTTTCAATCAAACTTCCGCCGGTGATTCCTCATCCATGACATGATACATCACTTCATCAGCTAGACAAAGCCTAATAATCGCCACAGCCTTCGCTTCCAATTCTTTCCAATCCATGTCGTCCATTCCTGCCAGTTGTTTTCCGTATAACGCCTTCACCATGCCCTGCTGCACTAACAGGTCCTTCACCCTTCTCTGCCATAATCCAAAATTTTCAATTCCGTCGAACTTCATGATGTCAAATTTTGTAGAGGAATCCCAGACATCATAGTCTAGCTCTGATACCAGTTGTTGTGATCGTGCAGCAATTATGGTGAATAATAAGGAATTAAACAATTAAGAAAGCAAGAGAAAAATAACACACAGAGATTTACGTGGTTCGGCAATGTGCCTATATCTACGAGAGCAAGCGGCCGTTCTATTTCATTATTAAAAGTAGGGTTACATCTTAAGTATTTATATAACCCTAATACGGACGTATTTACAAAAATATCCCTGTACCGTACCGCGGGGCCGTTGCCCCCGCACCCCCAAATAATCAACGTCCCCTTTATACAAATCTCCCAAAGCAAATGCCGTCGCGGGCTCCACTTCGGCATCTGCCTCCTTGCTATTATGCACACAGCAAATATGAGCCACACATACTCTAACAACATTTAAACTTGAAAAATACCTGCAAAAAAAAATAAAAAGCTAGAAAAGTATACTTTGGAATAGAACTGGTATAATTTATCTCGAAACTCTAATGCCATCCTCTATGTTTACTTTGTAGACTAAAAACATCACAACTTGTAATTGGCTTTCTTTTGAACTTTCTAGTTAGCTGAAGTTTAATTGCCTCCATTAAAATTCTTGTACAAATTGGCTTTCTAAGTTAGCTGAACGTTCTAGTTGGCAGACAGCAACAAGAACCAGAAATTTGTCGTACCATAAGCTTGAGTTAAACATGCATGTGTAATATACATATAATATCAAAGTTGAAACTATGAAACGAGAAAAATTTATCGTGAAGACTCGATGAATCTCACAAAGAATCAGAAGTTCGAGTTTTGTCATAAGATTCCCATGGTGAAAATTAAGTGACGAAGAATTGACTCGGTCTAAAATCTAAACTCAATCCTAATCACAACTTATAGGTATCCATTCCCTTCTTTTAGGTGTAGGCGGGACAACTTAGTCTCTTAAAAATGAATAAAACATAGAGTAAAACCAAAGCCCCCCAATCTCACATCATCTCCCTCAACTTAGTATACTGGTGCATAAAATGCATATTTAAAGGAATTAGTTAGTTTAGAGTGGTCCAATAGGTAAGAACTTAAATTTTGTCATTCAATACTTGGGTTCAAGTCTCTACAACTACGATATCTTGGTGAGGCCAAACTTACTCTTCAACTCAAAGCACGTGGTGAGACTTATAGTTTTGGTCTCGACGTAAGTACAATGGAGTCTCTATAATTGTGTGGTGCTGGGGACAATGCTCCCTAACGGATTTATAGAGTGATTGATCTACCTATCTATTTTTTCAATCCGAAGAATGACTCTAATACTACTAGTTGTGAGATAAGAGGAGTTCAATAAAAAAAATGCCCAATATATATATTTGGAATTTAAACCCAAAACTAGAATCTTTTCAGTCCTTCATAATACATTACGACCATGACATATTTGGAATTTAAACCCAAAGCTAGAATCTTTTCAGTACTTCATAATACATTACGACCATGACATTGCACGAGAATTTCATGGATTTGTCTTTCATCAATGCTGCCTAACTTTGTACTATCCTCCGCTTTTCAAAGCCACAACTACTTGGTAATATTCACAGTCTACGAGACTTCGATTACTACATACACATGTTTTACTCATGGACCTTTGCTATACTTCTATTTTTCTCTTTCGTCTGTAAAGTTATAAAGCCATGTTTATCGGAAAAAAACCCATTTCATCACAGCCAGTTCAGAAAGCAAGCTAAGGAAAAAGCATAACACCTGGGATGGATTTAATTTGTCAAGGTAAAGAGCTCTTGCCTAAGAGTTCTTTTAGAATTTCAATTCTAAGCAGATAATATAGTAATCTAATTCGACTAGTACTTTTTTCTGTGCTTAATGATTCAGGTAAGAGTTCATGGCCAGAACTTGTTGGGACGCGAGCACAAGATGCAGCTGAAATAATTGAAAGGGAGAATTCATTGGTTGCTACTATCATTGTGCATATGACTTGCCCCGTTCCCCTTGATTTCAGCTGCAACAGGGTTAACATCGTGATTGACTGTAGCGGCACCGTTATCACTGTCCCTACGATTGGTTAGGTTAGAAGGACACGTTCTGAATTGCTAATAATTATATAGTGTGGTATTGTACTAAAAATAATTCAACACTCCGACATTGCGGTGTGCATGTGTTGTACTAAACCTTAAATAAGGGGCAATGATAATGTTCCCGCTTTGTTAATCATCTCTCTCTCTCTCACTGTCTTGCCACTGCTGGGGTCCTTGGGCTGTTTTGCAACTTCAATTAAGTGCACCAACTTGAGAGGGTCCAACCTATTAATGATAAATGAACTCTAATATTGGTTAAGCATCTACTTCCTAGGAAAAAAGAACAAATCACTATTTCCAAAAGTTCTAACCTTTAGAGGTATAGATAAGAGACTATCAATTTACCTGAAACTGATGCCCTTGACTTATTTGTGTTTTTGTATTTTTGCAACTGCAGTATAATGTCCGATAAAATATGTTCAAAAGAAAAAAAAATAACAAATGGCCAAAATGGTAAAATCCTATTTGAACACGAAACCTAGAAACACCAAAGCATAGAATAAAGAGATAATTAACGATGATTCATTTTGACTGCTACAACTTAAATTATAATGTAAACAAAAACCATTTTTTTTTTAGAAAAATTAAATTTTCAAATTTGATAGACCATGGAAGGAGTCTGCTCAAAAAATGATTAGGCCAAGACAATGTGGTGGGTCATGAACATTTCGATGTTTCAAATAAACCATGCAAATTGGGCAAAGATTCCACTACAGGGACTCTCGATTGGTCACAATACATTATGTTCCAATAGCTTTATTTTTCCACTACGAGGACTCTTCGATTTGAAAAAAATAGTTATTATAACGGTGATACTACATCAACATTATCGCATGATATTATTAACTAATAATATGCAGACAAATAAAGAATTAGATTACATACAAACTAATAATTTCCCGTCAATGTAAGCAGATATCTACCCACTTACTTCCATGTAAAATAAAAACTATCAAAGTGAAATTCATTTTGCCCATTTCGGGTTTTATTATTAATTAGTGATATCATGTCATCAATGTTGACATGATATCACCGTTGTATTGAATATTCTCTCGATTCTCACTATCACTTTTTTGGCAGTCCAATAGCATAAAAAAAATAACGTTTATAGAAAGCCATTCAAGTGACGTATAAAAATAACGTTTATAAAAGGAAAGATGATAGAAACCACTATTTGATTTTGTGACGATTAAATTCAAGTCTTATGGACGGTCAAGTTTAAGACTGTATTTACATCATACAATAATTGATTCTGACAAAACTCAAAGTTCTTGTTAGATTCACAAGGTATACTTACATAGTTATTAAATCTGGCCTGGATGTCGACACAGGTCACTGGATTAATTGGCGTGCAAGGAGAGAAGATTTTGCATTCATGATAAAAAATACTCACAAATATAATAAAAACAACTACAAAATCCTAGTTATCACAGGCATAGTTCTTTTCACGTTTATATACACTAGTTGTTGCCTACGTGCATAGCACGTATACTATTTTGTGAATAAAATATTATATATTAAAGTTATTGATCACTTTTCTTTTTGTAAAATCCACAACTTTAATAAACACTAACAATTAAATGACCAAGATTCAGATTTTATTAGAATGCTTTTTCCCTTCAAGATTAAAAAAAATGCTGAAATAATAAAATGGACTTAAAAGACAAACAATATTGATATTTGAATGGAAGGTGTCTAGTTAATATCTAATACATTGATCATTGGTGGAAAAAGAATACATATTTTATAATGACATTTATTAAAATAAAATTAAAAATAAAAACCTATTTTTTTAAAAAAAAAATCATAATTAGTATACAGTTATACTATATTGAAATTTAATTTGATAGTTTAAACGACTAAATTAAGCTACCAAATTATCTCAATTAAAGTTAAAAAATATTATGTCTATTACAGTTTGACCTCTTGTTTGATTTTTTTAGTTTTATTCCAATAGATAATATAATATTGATTATGATTTTTTAAGAAAAAATTGAGTTTTTATTTTATTTCAATAAATGACATAATAGAACATGAATTTTAGTTGTAAAATTCATGTTCTATTATGAATGATTTAGATCACTTGTTTGATTTTTTAGTTTTATTCTAATAGATAATATAATTATATACTAATTACGAATTTTTAAGAAAAAATTGGATTTTAATTTTTTATTATATTTCAATAAATGATATATTAGAATATAAATTTGGTTATAAAATTTAAAATATTTGATATTCTATATTTGATTGAAGTATTTTTTATTTAAGTATAACATTTTAGATTTGAAGGATCTAAGTATTATATGTCTGCAAACTCTTGAGGAACTGGGTGTAATTTACTAACGGATATAGTAGGGGTGTCAATTTTATCCATTAACACGAACCTGACACAAATCCGACCCGACACAAAATTCGAAAATACATGATTAGTTGACACAAATAATAAATGGGTCAAATTAATGTTCGACATAAATAATATGATTAATAAGTACTGTAGATAAAAAATAATTATTTAACCAGTATTGTAGAAAATAAATAAATTTTTTTTAATTTTTTAAATAGTATTATATGAGTTGTTGTCGAATTAAATAATTTTTTATTAACACGAATAATGACACGAACTTGACATATATCGAAACTGATACGACACAAAAAGAACACGACGCAACATGACTGACACCCCTAGGATATACTAACAACAATGGTCTAAAAGTTATGAGCGTACAAATATAAAGGGTCTGTGTGTAATACTTTAAATGTCAGAGAATTTAAGTGATTAAATGATAAATTATAGGGATCTGAGTGTAATTTTTCCACATGTATAAAATATTATAAATTAAAGTTGTTGATCACTTTTCTTATTGCAAAATTCACAACTTTACTAAACATTAACAGTTAAAATGGTCAAGATTCATATTCTATTAAAACGCTCTTCTCTTTCAACATAAAAAAAATACTAAAATAATAAAATGGACTTAAAAGACGAACAATATTTGATGTTTGAATGAAAGGTCTCCGGTTAATATTTAATACATTGATCATTGGTGAAAAAGAATTTAGAGTTTGTATCAGTTTGTAGTGTGAAAAAATAGAGAATATAAAGAGGTCAAATTTGGTTGAAAACTAATTCTTGGAACTTGAAGAGTCTATGAAGTGGCCCAAAGCTTAGTTGATAATTGATACATATATCAATTAGAAATTTAATCCCCAAATATGGGTCAAAAATTTAAATTGATTATAATTACGTTAATTATTGAATCAGGGATTAAATAGATTTTACAATAATAATTAAGTGCATATTTGAGAATCAAAAATTTTAATTTAATTTAATTTTATTAGTAGTACAAATAGATTATAGTCAATTGCCCCCTCATGTACATGTTGAATTTTGGCCTTAACATGTGAAATTTTTTTTAATAATTAGGGTGGTGGTCGGATTCAAACACATGATCTCGTACTCTGATACTATGTTAAACAATCATCTATTCTAAAAGTTTAAGTTATTAGGAATGGTGTAACTTTAATATTTATATTTCAACATAAAATAGTTAAAAAAGTAGAAAATGCATAAAAGTAACTTTTTCTCGAACATTCAAGTTTGTTTTTGTTTGCAAACTTAATTTTCCAACAAAATTTAAGGGTCTGATTGGTTAAAAAGAAATAAAAATGATGGAAAATAAAAATTATAAAAAGTAAAGTGAAATAAAAGAAACTGATAGAAAAATATATTTTCATACATGTATTTGGTTAGAATAAAAAATTTCTAGGAAATTTAAAAAAAAATTTCTAGGAAATTTAAAAAAAAATTTCTTTGTATTGTTTGAAAGAAAAGAATTTTTTTTATAATTGTCTAAATTACCTTTAATTATATTAAATCGGTTTTAAAAGAAAAAATATGTAATTATAATTAAAAGTTTAAAATTTTTAAAAAAATGACTTGAAACTTAAGTTTAAGGCAATCACTAATACAAAGATCTTTGTGCCAAATTATATGATTAATTAAATTCATACCAAAATTAATAACCAATAAAATATTTTAAGAAAAATAAGGGTAAAATAGAAAGTTAGTTATAAATCACAATTTTCTTGTATTTCCTTGTGTATTTTATAAGAAAAAAAATTAGTCATTTGTGAGAAAATTCAAGCATGAAGGAAAATTATTTTTTTCATCATTTTCCTTTTCATGCTAACCAATCACATAAAAATTTTAAAATATTTATTTTTCTTACATTTGCTATCATTCTCCTGCTAAACAAAAGAATCCTAATGGAAATTTTTTTCTCCCATAGAATTTGGCAGTTAGCATCCTAGCCACTTCCCTCTTTACCCATGATTTTCCTTCACCAAACCTTCTTATCCACATTACAATGGAGGGATTTTCCTTGGTAAATTTGTCCAAAACACTTAAAAATTAATATCTAAATGCGTCGAATACATACCTAAATGTATTATTCAAATAAATTTGTACTAAATTAATAATGTGTTAATATCATATTTGTAACTTTTAATTACATATAATTCAAAAGATTTTTTAATAACTTTTTTATTTACATATAGTTCTTTTTTTTTCTGTACTTGATTTACATATACTCCTTGATTGTGCATAGAGATATCAGAATAGGACTATTCCCGAAGAATAATCTATCTTCTTATTCAGTCAAAGATAGTTTATCTACGTTGAGATTATGATATTCATGAGGGAAAAATCTCTCAGGGTTTGATCCTAAAAAATTACTAAATTTTAAATTTAAAACGTTTATATTTATAATTTATTCTTATTACCACTTCAACTGCTATTCCCCGAATTTAAGTCACCGACAGTTTTACAGGTGAAAGAAGTAGCGGTGGCTACGAAAAGCAAGGGATAGTATGAAGTTTGACAGCATTGATGAATGACAAATTCATGAAATTATCATACAATCTCCTTCATTTAAACATGGGGTTGCAAAAGAATAATTCGGTGGACCATAACTTACACCACGGGGACCACG